AATTTGATCAGTGAAATTGAATTATTTAGACATATGGTTGAATCATGCATAAATTAATGGTCACGTTGGCTTGTCGAGCTTACGTATTAATGCGTGAGTAAATACTTGAAGAATGTACACGTGGTGAAATTAAATTAAATATGCTGTACTACACTGATATAGATGAAATTTATCACTGAGCATAAATAAATAAACTTATGTTATAGTAGTTTACTTTTTATCAGTTTAATGTAGCGATATTAAGCATCATTGATAAAATTTCCAGTATATAAAAATATTATAATTGGATTTGAGTTATGAATCAACGAAGCTTTTCAATCAAAGCTAAATTTTAATATCAATTTTATAAAAATTTTTCCTTAAAATAAAATAAACTTGAAATTGACCGGAACGTGAAAAATGAAATTTTTTTTTATATAATAGTAAACCTTTTCCGTAATCATAAATTACATTTCCAGCCTCGTCCGTTGACATTGCGCTTCACACTTTATGTTATAAAATATTTATAAATTTATCTACTAAATATATTTTTTATTTTTGTTAAAGAAAAATCTAAGTACTTTTATAAAAATTTTCATGTTAATCATTCTTCAAGTTCATTTTCTTCAAACTATAAATTGAACATAAAACTTTTACAGTAAGCAAGAATAATATTAAACATATTAATATTAATATTAATCTTCCAGATTCTAATTTTGTTATTAATTTAGCATAATACTTTACACAATTTATAATTTCTTTTGAAAAATTGCCAAGGGCGTTTGTAAATAAATCAATATAATTAAACATTTTAAAAAACTGTCACAGTTAGACCTTATTTTACTATACACTGAGAAAAAAATTATCTTTTGAAAAATATGGGCACTCTTGTGAAAAGTAATTGTGAAAATTAATTTGTTGGAAATTTTCAACAATTTTATTTTTTAGCTAAAGAAGCGGCAGTCACTATATGATACTAGAAATAGTTGCTTAATTAATGTAAAAGGTACTAGAACAAAAAGTGCTTAGAGGAATTTTGTGCTTAGATTTGGTAAAAAATGTCATTAAATAACAAATAAAAATTTATGTATAATTTTCTATTTATTATAATTACCCGTAACTAGTTATTACTCACGAATTTAATTCTAGAGGATAATTTTTACTTCGGGACAAAATTAAATAGTTTAAATTAACAAGTTACAGCTATTAATTATCAATTATTAATTAATAATTAATCTGAATGATAAAATAGATTGAAAAAAAACTAAAGAGGTTTTGTTAATTGACCTTAAGTGAAGAGCGGTTTTAAAGAGTAATTAAAGAAAATTAAAGTGAACCATTTGTGTGATACATAACTGCAGCGATGAAAGCAATTAAAGTAAAAATAAATTAATTTATAAAAAGCTAAACAAGTGAAGAAAAAAAGATAAGATAATAATGATGTCGCGACGGACTTTGGTTGACTGACCGCTGGTTTTGTTTTTCTAAAAGGGCTTACAGCTGCTGTACTGATGACATCACTCATGTGAGCAAAATATACAGAAGACGTTAATAGATGAGTGAGTATATGTCTTTAAAAAATATAACAGTGTGGTAAAACACCAAACACTGTTCATCGTCAAACAGACCGCGGTAACATCAATTCCAAGTCGAGTAGACAAGAATCGCGCAAGTAAAGTATATAGAACAGAAACAGAATAGGATAAGAGGGTTCTCTGGGAATTAATTGATGACATTTAACCACCACTTATCAACAGTTACTTTCACGCTAGAGTAAATATTTATTTATGGAGTTTTACGCGTTTGGAATTTTTCAAAAATATATTTATTTTATTTCATTTCTGTAATGTAAGTGTGTTCAAGTGTATACACTAAAAATTAATATCAATAAGATAAATATTTTCAAAATTATGTCGAATTTTTTCAGTTTTTTTTTTTTTTAATTCATACTCAAATGAAACTCCATAATTTGAAGGTAGGTCGGCGGCTTCTATATCCTAGACACATACACAGAAAAAAAAATTTACTTGAATCAAGTAAATAATTTTGAAGAACTTAATCTTCTTGAATTAAGTAAAAAAATTCTTAAACCAAGAAATTTTTCTTGGCTTAAGTAAATTTTACTTGATTCAAGAATTTTTCGTCTTGATTCAAGACAATGAAACTTTTCAAAATTATTTTCTTGGTTCAAGAAATTTTTACTTGATTCAAGTTAATTTTTTTTTCTGTGTATACATTCGAAAAATGTAAAAATCAAATTTTCGAAATTGACCAATTAGGCTACATCCTTAAAAAATTATCAAATCATAGAATACCTTTAATTAATAGCCGAGTTTAAGATTAAAAAAGTTAAAATATTAAAAAAAAATAATTGAAAATCGAATTTGAGTTTTTAAGTACACGAGATGGTAACTGTCAATATTTTTTTTTTAAATAATACAGATTATTTTATTTTCTTGAAATACCGTCAAATTGTTTCCCTCTTTGAAATGTTCAATTTTGACGGATATATTTTATCGTAACGTCAGTAAAAAAAAAAAAAAACCCTTTAACTTCCATAACTGACATAGATCGCAGCCGATCGGCTTTTTTCAACAACCCCTTCGAATAAACCCAAAAAAAATTTACAATAAAAAATAAAAAAAATCACATCAATTGTTTAAAAAAATAGTATACGAGATTTCACGATTTTTTCAGAGCATAAGCCCCGAGATTTAAAACAATAAGTGAAGTAAATTCTGTTCAAAAGGGTCACATTTAGTTTATCGGGGTAAAACCAGAAAAATATATAATCTCTCAATTATTATACTATATAATGTTTTAAAAATTTTTTCACTGCAGAGATACTTGTGTATTCTGCAGAGATAAGTCGTATTTAAATTAAGTTGCACAATAATCTCTGTCTCACTGACGTATATATGTGTTTTTTCGTTGAATGTATAACCGATTAATGTATACATTAAAGATAACAGGTACCGAAGAGGATTTAAAAAAAAAACAACTATTTACTAACTGTAATAGTTACTTTTATTTCCCGCTTCCATCAAGAAAATATCGTTTCCGTATCTTCCGCTTAAGAATTTTTTCGCGTGATAACCTAGTAATAACCACGAAAATTACTTATTAACCGTTTACTCTACTATATAAAACACATTTTTTAATTATTCTTTCAACACATTCTTATCTTTTTTCTTCAGAGTTATCTGAACACTTTATATAAAACTTAGATTAAAAAAATCTTTGTTTTTTATACTGTTATTAAATTTAAGTTCATAAGCATCATTACGCTATTAAAGTACAGGTATACGGGAAAAGAAAAAAAAAATACTTGAGCTGAGAAAAATATTATCCTTAAAATTTCACTCTTGTTTTGAGAAATTCAGTTCGAATTAATTCATGAAATTCATGCATAGAATTTAAAGAAAATATAATTCTTAGAAAAAGAAAAAAATCTTCTTAATAATTCCCGTGTAAAAAAAAATCGTCTTAAAATTGTCTTAAAATTGTCGTTCGTTTAAGATCTTAAACGTGACACAAACTAAGACTATTTTAAGACTCTTTTAAGACGCCAAAAATTCCGAGAGCAGATTTTTGAAAATTTTGTTCTCGAATTTGTTGTAAAAATTAATTTTTAGATGATTTTACGACTTTCTAACCGCAATATTTTTGAGTAAGATGTTTTTAAATTGAATTTAAAATTGTTAAAAAATTATTATCTGACAATTTTAAGACTTTTTTAAGACGTTCCGTTTTAATGTTCCGGGGTCGTCTGTCGCTGTTAGCCCATCTTAATAGTCTAAATTGTTTTTTAAGAATAATTTAAGATAATTTTAAGACAATTTAAAGACGCTCCATAATAACTTTCCGGAGCTGTCACTGTGATGTCATCTGAAAATAGCCTAAAAATTTTTTAATATTTTTTTTTCAGATTTCTTTAAGACTATTTTAAGATATTTGAAGACTATATAAAAATTATTTTAAAACTTAAATCTTAAAATAGTCTTAGAAAAATCTTAAAATCGTCTTGAAAAAATCTTAAAATAGTTTTAAGAAAATCAAAATAATTGTTAAAAAATCTCGGAATTTTTTTTTTTTGGCATCTTAAAAGAGTCTTAAAATAGTCTTAGTTTATGTCACGTTTAAGATCTTAAATGAACGACAATTTTAAGACAATTTTAAGACGATTTTTTTTACACGGGAAGGAATTTTGCCAATTCAACAAAACAAAAATTTCTATCGGTGGTAAAATTTCTGAGGGGAGTTTAGCGGTAACAATAATGAAATACAGAAAATGAACATGTAAAATACAACTATAATATTTAAAGTTAAAATATCGTGTGAAATTATGAACTTTTGAATAATAGTTATTATTATTATTTCGTAGAAGTTTTAGGAGTTATAATCTAGTTTTGGTACCTTTTCAAGCTTAAAATGCAACGAAATTCCAAAACTATCCAAAATTTTCAAACTTTCATATTTTTTATATTTTATATCATTAAAATATTATCTACTTCACTAAGATCTCCTTAACAGAAAATTTATTGTCAGTTTTGGGGAATAATATTTTTTGACTTCAAATTTTCCTCTGCTAAGAAGGCGATTTTCAACGAACGAAATACTTGAATCAAGACAAATATTTTTCTTTAAAATTATAATATTTTTTTTGAGCCTAATAATTTTTTTTTCTTTCCAATATTATAGCAACTATTGTTATATAATTTTAAATAAGTAATTATATTTTAAAAATAAGTAATTAACATTAAATTCAAACTCTCACTTAATTTTATTAATTATTACTGTGATGATAAATTACCCTGTTTTTAACGAACAAACATCTCATTTTTTTTGTCCTTAAATTAATTATTTTAAAAATTTTGTGTCAGATAAATCAAATGATTTTTTACGAAAGAGGAAGCAAAATATTTTTTTAAGTAAATATTACACTTAGAAGTAAAAGAAATAGTAGTAAAAAATTAAATTAAATTAATTAAAAATTATTTAAAGACGCATTTGCTTCCTCCCTATTCCACTGCTGTGGGAAAATAAAAGGATAGTAATAATAAAAAAAGTGTAAAATATTGATAATTGATAAGAAAGTAATGACCTGCGGTGCGATTGATGTAAAAATCGAACGCAGCGAGTGATCCATGAGTACTTGAGCATTTAGAATCACGATATGTAACACTGATGGTCCAGCCAGGGAGCGGACCTTTTGTAGAACTAACGGCTTTGACAGCCAGAGCGACTGCTGGGAGAATTCTGGGCAAACTTTGCTCATGATGTGGATCTGCGGGGGCTATAACACCTATTTTAACAACACGACGATTAATATCACTAGGCACTGCATTAACACGTGTACTTGACCAGTGTTTTCCCGGTAATTGAGTTCCTGTTATTATCACAGCTTCACAAACAACCAACGTCTCTATATACACACATATTAAATATAACAGCAATAAAAATATTAATAAAACACTTTTAGTCCCACATTTATTTTTCTCTCTCATGATTCAGTTCTTCAGAGTCGATTACACTGTTGTCATTTGAGACATTTTTTTATTACTATTTATATTATTATTATTATTATTATTATTATTTTTAGCAGCAATCATTTTGTGTTAAATTTCGCTGATATTCACTACGAGAATTCACATTTTTGCTGATATGCTGACTGAAATATTCAATGCCATGGAGTGACGAGAAGAAATAAAATTAAAATTTCTGAGAGTAGTTGGGTGGAATGCAGTGAAATGCTCAAGGTACGGTGAGGCAAAATAGCTAGTATTGAAAACGGAGAATGGAGAGTGAAAAATATCGATAAATAATAAAAATAAATTGTAGGAATGAATGAATAAAAAGTCAACAGAGAAATACACTAGTCAGAAAAAAAAATCTATCAGTTTTTTTTTCTTTCGTTGCTACTTTGCTGTACTTTGAATTTTTTTTTTTTTTACTGTGTATAGCAAATACACTTCTAGCAATTGAGTTTTAATATACATAAAATATTTGCGAATGATGAAGTATTTGAATGTTAACAAGTTACTATTGAACAGATTTTTTTAAAATTGTTACGGATACTTTTATGGAATAAGTTAATGATGATAATAATAACAATTATATGATTTTATTTTAATGATAGCATTATGTCTACACAATGGAATTTTAATTATTATTTTGATTTCTATTACTAGTAACTTGCAGTCACTGTATGACAGCCAAGAACATAGTTTGGGTACTTTTAAAAAGAATAAAAAAAAATATTGCTATCGTAAGATCAATTAGTAATAATTTAATGGTCAAATATCATGGAACAAATTTATAGAATTAAAAAACTATATTCAAAACTGATCCAAAAACTTTGCATGATAAATTGAGTTTTACCAAAAAGAAACGGCACAAATTAAGGTGAGTACCTTTCCAATTATACTAAATTTAACTGAAAAACCCCACTCCATCAGATAAATACGTCGGAGCTTAAATTTCCTTTAATCTCTTAATTATATAGATCATTATTATGTTACTGAAAAAAACCTTTGATTTTCAGGGATATAATTTTACTTGAAACCTCAATACCAAGAGAAGTAATTTTATTGCTCAAGCTCTTATTTCAAAGGTCTTATAAAAATTTAACGTCCGAATAATATTCCGCAAAATTAAAAGTTATAAAATAGTCCAATAAAAAATCTATAATTTTATTTCAAAACAATTATCCTGACAAAATAAATTCCAACTGGTTTCCAAAAACGCAATATAACACCTGCTTATAAATGCGGGTCGATTTTACACCGAGATTTTTTTTTTATCGATAAACTTTTTTTTATCAATCAACTAAAAAGGAATCCAATAAATAAATCTTTGAAAAATAAAAAAAAAAGCAAAGCAAGTAAACTCAGATAATCAATCAACTTTATTATTGAATAAAAAATTAAAATTTTTAAAATTTTGTTAATTAATCAATAATGAAAATAGCAAGTAATAATTACTACATCTACATTATATTAAGATAATTATCGTTCATTACTTTAGCATATTGTAGATTGTTTAGAGGCAAATCTGGTGTTAAACCGCAAATTACATTCTCGACGTCGGTTTCTACCCATCCTAATACTCATACTGTTATAAATATATATATGTCTGCGCCACATATATGTTGAATAAGCATATTAGCGCCGTAATTTACGGATAAACTTACTTTTTCATCAAATTCACCGCCTTTAGTTATATTCTCACTTATAAATATGCATTTACATACTTTAGTATTTGTACAAAGATATATCCATCGTAAGATGGTAATAACATGCATGCAAAGTCACGATAAAAACAATACAAGGTGAGTTGAGGATCGCGAAAAAGCTAACTTGTAAAGTTGAATTGAGAAAAATGGTTAAATAACTGTATATTCTACGGCTATTTGTTATGATTTATAGAGAAAATGTTCAAGACACTTTTAGAAATATTTAACTGTGATAACGAAAGATTAATGTGTAGATGTACATGTACTTATTTTATTTATGGCAGTAAGACAAATGCTGGTTTAAATCCGTTGGATTTTCGGGGTGTCATTTTAGTTTAGCTATATTTAAATTACTTTATGCTGAAATATCATGGCTGCTATAAAAATTTCGAGGGTGAAGGATAAAAAATAAATGGAAGTAAACTTTTTTACACATCATAAAAACAGAAATCATTTGCAAAAAGACGGAAAAATAAAGTAGTTATATTTAACATTCCAGCGTGGTAATTAGGGTCATTTATTATAAAATCGTAAATGATAGTATGTGAAATAGAATTTATTATTATTTTTTTGGTAATAATTCCTCATTACATTGTATAAGTCAAGAATTAATATTACTTTAATAAATTGAAATTAAAGTACGTAGAATGATACTCAGTCTGATAAATTTTATTAACAAATCTTATTTGAAATTAATGGGCGAATTCAATAAAATAAACCAAAACAAAATAGTATTTGGTTGAAAGTAATCCAAATTTAAATGAAACAAATTTGTTCATATTAAAGAGATATTTTTAAGTTATTTTAAATAAATCTACGAACACTGTTTTTTCAGTGTAGCTATTCACTTTTCTTTGTGCACGCTAAAAATATCGTATTGAATAGCCATTATTTTCTCCTTGTACAATCGAATCACACCTGATATATAAAAAGAGTAAACAATAATAACTTTTATAACTAATTTAAAAGCATTTCATGGATTTTTCAATACATTGATTTCCGTTCGTGGAAACTTCGAATACGTAAAAAAATATAAATCAATAATGATTATTAAATTATTATTTACTCGGGATAAAATTATTTTCATTAGATTAAATAATTTATTAATTCAGTTATTATCAGTGCTTTATTATTGATTGTTTCAAATTAGTTTTCGATAGTTGTCTGAAATTTTTGACTTGTAAATTATTTAACCGAGAATAATTTAAAAACTAAATATGAAAAAAATTAAAAAATTCCAAGCTGATAATGTTGAATTTTATCGCAATTAAAATTCACTATTTACTCAATATCTCCGGTTGCATCAAATCCTGTGATACCCGATAATCTATCTTTTTTTTAATTTAAAAATATAAAAACAATAGTGCAATGATATAAATTTTATAAAAAAAATTTTAATGATAAAATAAATCTTTACGAAATTTTATTCTGCAGTAAAAAAGTTTAGAATAAAATTAAAAAATTAAGAAAATTAATTTTAAAAGTATCATTAGATTTTATTTTTTTAATCAAGTTAATTTTTTTTTTTATCAGTACAAATAATTCTGTGAGATATTATAAATTATCCAATATATTAATAGATCAATTTTTAAAGCAATAAATATTTATTCTAAAGAAATATACGTTCGCTAACAGTTAATACATATTTATCATACTCTAACTCCGTTATAATGTAAAAATTGCTTTTATAAAACTAAACCCATATTTTCATCACTTGGAGACAATTTGACATGCATGTTTTTCTTCTACGCGTCTTTTTAATTCCAATAACAGTTTACAAACGTCTAATTTTCCATATGACTCTAAAATTTATTCCAACACATCTGAAACAAATTGACCTACTCGGACAATAATTATAATTAAAATTATTGTCATCTAAGATAAGAAAAATTTTCAAACGCGAAATTTAATCGCTTAAATTATTCATAAAAAAATTATAAAACACGTGAAGTTATCTTTATATTTCTGTTTACAAATGAACACGTCATTTCGCGCTCGGTAAATTTACAATCATTAAAAATTTACTGAAAAATTAGCGAATCTTATTTCGCCCCACTGATTCAATTAGGGCAATGAGCAATTGCTCATTAAATTATAAATTAAAAAACCATAAATAATAAATTGACATTCAAACGAATAATTTTTAACCTCCCTGTTCTTCAATGAATAAACCGAGCCCCGGAAAAATTCAATTATAAAAAGCTTTTAATTTTCTGATAATAAAAAAAACTTTTTCTAGCAGCCGAATCCATACAAATAAAAAAAAAATTACTAGATTAAAAAATGCCGAATAAAATATTTAAAAAAAAATTGATTGTCATGAGCAGCATTTGGTTAGAAATAAAATTCCAATTGTGAAGCTGATGAATGGAACGTTAATAAAATTCTTAATCGAAGGCAGAACTGAGTATATGAATTCCTATCACATGATAGAATTTTTTTTTTAATATGCTATAATAAATATTACATTTTTTCGTTCACGACTTATGAATATTTATTTTTTAAAAAAAGAAAATAATATAATTATAATAATGATGATATTGACAATACAAGCCAATTAAACAGATAAAAATATATATACTGCTCAGAAATGAAATGAATATCCTCGATGTATATCCTTGAGCTTTCACATTTGCAAACAATTATTTATTCTTATTAATAAGAATCATTTTTCTTCACTAAAAAATTTTTCACTTTTTTATTCAAAATTTTTAAACCACATCACAATTTAAAAATTTTTAATTTAAACAAAAAATTTTAATAAAAAAAAATCCCGCTCTTTGGAGTTACAAACTGTCGCTGTTAACAAGTGGGTTTGATAATGCGAAAAAAGGACTAAGAGGAAAAAAATTACGGGCACTAGGACGAGGAGCTTTCGCGACTAAACACGAGTACGAGGATAGTGACTATCGTGACTTGGGCGCCAGAGAAAACGTAATACACACGATGTTAGTCAGAGTAGAGAGAGAGTTGGGGGTGAAGATGAGGATGAGAGAGGAGAGAGTAAGAAATGAAGAGATAAAGTAGAAGGGAGAAAAGCGCGCACGCGCTACTCTAATGTTGTACTATGAATTATTGTGTATACACGCACACGAGCTTTGACATGTACACGTATTATCTATCTTTATTTCTATTTTATATTGCACTACTGGTCCTAATACTAGTGCTAGTATTACCAGTAGTGCAGTATGGGGTGTAGTGCATTGTCTTGATATGTTGTTTGCTGTGTTTCAAACATTAAACATATCAAGCGTACTCTCTTTCAGGCTTTATCTTAACATTAATGCATATATGCGCGCGGATTTAAATTTATGTGTATGAATATGGTGAAAGGGGTTGAAAGAAGGGGTAGGTACACTTGAGTGAGCCGGAGATTTA